TTCCCCCCCCCCCCCACCGCCCCGCGTCGAGTTCGCCCCCTACCCGCAGCTCCCACCGCCCTTTACTCCTAGCGGCCGCCTTCTCTCCTTCCCTTTCTCCCGGTGCTGGTCCCTAGTCCACACCCCCTTGTCCCTCGGACTCCGCCATGCCTCGCCCGGACACCCGGCCCTCCCGGTCACCCGCCTGGAAGTTGGTGCCCCCATACCTTCCACCTGTGCGGCCAGGCCGTCCACCTTAGGTGCTGCGTTGACCTCTCACTTCGCAGCATTTAAAGTCCAGATTCTCAGTCCTAGGGTGTGGTCTTAGTGTGTTTCCAGAACACACATTTCTACTCTAATTACCCAAATCCATGACTGTCAAACTGTAGTGGAAGTGGCAGTTGGTGTGTGTGTGTGTGTGTGTGTGTGTGTGTTTTCCGCATGGCTATTCTGGGTCGTACCAAATATCTCCTTTCGCTCTCCCCCCCACCCCCCACCCCCGGAGGACTATGTATCTATGATGGATTAATTTGCTCTGAATGTAAAATTTGGCGGAAGATTGTTACTTTTTCGATTCCTCCACGTTCCTTCCCGCGCAGTCCCGTGACTGATTTGCAACATTACCTGTTAATACTGTTTGTTGGTGAGACTTTTTCTCGGCTCATCTGTCAACGTTACTGAGTGGCCTCCGGTGTGCCGAATGCTGATGAAATGCCTGAATTCGTGCAGTACCACAAAACGCCATTCTGGATAAGACAGATTTGGGGCATTTGTTTACACTTTTTTTCCCCCCTCCTGTGAATTTATTGAGCTTGCCATTTTTTTACTCCTTAATGTTTAGTGTAGAGAATGAATATCAATTATCAATTGTGTGTTCTTACAGTCTTGCCATTTGGAAGACTGGCATTCCAGAGGAGTGCTTTGTATAGCTGAAGGAATTTCAGTCACTTGGGTGTTCAGGGACTTATTGCAAATCATTTTAGACTAATATATCTCAAGAAAAATACACTGATCCTTTAAATTCTTTAATTATACTTAATAGAAGCAGAAGCTTTGTGTCTGAAACAACTTGATAATTGGGGCTTATTTGATAGCCTGCTTGTAAAGTGTTGCAGTTAACTAAAAGTGCCTGATTCAGCATTCACAAAATGAAATGACAGCACTTTTTTTTTTTCATGTGACATTCATAGTCCATAATAATGAACTCCAAGGAAGGTACTTAGTCCTGAAGTACACTCACCTGCGTATCAGTGTGATACAATTGCTATCAATATTAATAGCATTTTCCTAACAGCCCTTTCTTCTGGGGAGCTAGGTACTAAAATGGTGGCTGGTTGGTTGTCCCTTTTAGGTTTTGGATGACCGCTTTAAGCACTAAGATTACTTAATTCAGTCAAGATTGCATTTTTTTGGCAGAGCAATATTGCTAGATAATATATTTTTAAAATTCCTTAAAACTTTAACAGTTATGTAGCTTCTTGAGAGGAAACTCTTGTTTTGTAAAATGTAGGATATATAGTATGAACTCTAGATTATTTGATAGTTGCATCGAGGCTAGATTTTTCTTTCCCAAGAAAGTGGTTCATCAGAGGGAGGCATGATTAGTAAATAGGTCCTAGTCGCCTCAGCAAAAATGCAATTTCAGATGCTGAGTAAAACTAAGTGAATGTACCTTATTTCTGATAGGTTACAGGTGACATTTAACATCAAATTTAAGATTTATTTCTCTGAACTTTCCCCCCAAAATGGGTAAAAAATTATGTTAGTTAGAGGTCACTCTTGAGATTACTTGACTCATTTGAAGTGGCCGTTTACCTTTACTTAGTAAGTAATTGATTGAGCAGTAGAGAGGGATGCTTATTTCATTTAATCCTAGTCTCCATGGGGAAAATATTGTAGTCACTTATATGAGGTTACTTAACTCATTAAGTATTGATGCACTTAACCGTTAGAGCCTATAATTTGCTCTTTCACTGTTCAAGGAAAACAAAATTATAAAATTTCAAAATATTTAATAATATTGTTAGTGGCTTGCCCAGTCTTACTTTTGGTCTCTCCTTTTCTGTTACTACACCAGAGTTTAGCACAATGCCTGCCTAGTGCACAGTGGATATGCAATAAATGTTTTGACTAATTGAGTGAATGGCAGGGTTGCAAAGAGTTTGACTCTAACATTGTTTTGTAATTATGTGGCAAAAGTTCTGGAGAAAGATGTTGATTCCTCTCAGCTGAAGTTTTCTCAGGTAACTTGTACATTTTGAGGATTGTTATATTTGATTATTATTATTTTATTTTATTTTTTTGGTACGTGGGCCTCTCACTGCTGTGGCCTCTCCCGTTGCGGAGCACAGGCTCGGGACGCGCAGGCTCAGCGGCCATGGCTCACGGGCCCAGCCGCTCCGCGGCACGTGGGGTCTTCCCGGACCGGGG